GGTCGATTTTTATCGATCAAGTTCTGAAGGAGGTCAGTTGCAACCCGAACAACTGAGTGACATCTTACTGTAAAACTGTGTGATTACGGTTCAAAGCGATTTGAGAACATTAGTTCATTGAGGATTGCAGGCACCTTATTAATGAATGCCGACTAGTATGAAACCTCGACTCAACATTTTCTGTTGGCTAAATCCAACTACCCAACAACGAAATATAGTGCTTTTACAGCTGATTTATTTTGTTTGAACACATAAATATTGGTACAAAGGGGTATCGAATACATATGCGCCATACAAGTCATTTGATTTGTGTATGGGCTATGATACTGCTCGGGTGCCCAAACCGAAAATGCTGACTAAGTGAACACATGACAACAGAAATACTCAAATGAGTCAGAAATAATAATTAATTAAATTAAGCTCTGTGATTCAAGGAGATACTTTCGAATTTTAAAGTCATAGATAGGTACTTTTGAAATTTTAAAATAGGATTGAAGAGTTGGTACATATATATAAACATGGAGTCACTATTTCATTCAAGTTTCGATACAGAATCACGAAAAACAGATAAGTTTAGCTGCTACCTTGACGTGGTGGTCGGGCTTGCCTATCGTGATGACCCAACCGAGCTATATTGGCTGGAACACATGTTCCTGCAGGTTCTACCATGCCAGGCAGGTCGATTGGAGAACGGTAAGACTAAAAGCAGCAACTCAAGGTCTGAGGGCGAAGTCGTACTGCTGACTGTACAGAGGTGTGACAGCAGTAAGGTGTTTCCCTCAGACAACCAGCATCCGCAGCGATGCTGCCTTCTCACAAGGAAGGAAGGGGTTAGAAAAGGTTGACCCTAAAAATGTCACACCTCACCTTACCCCACGGATTTCCGTCTCCGGCGGTAAGGCCCTTTGAAGAACGGAGCTAACACATTAAAAACCTCCCACAAAAAGGCCGTGCGCGACCGGCCTCAAGCAGTTGTCCCTTGGGCTCTGCGGTCACGCACTCAGGTCGCTAAGACCAACACTAATCCGATTTCCTTTTCAGGTCCCTCAAGAAATACCCTTCCACGGTGTGGGCAACCGGGAAGTGATATCAGCCCTCATACCCGTAACAGCACACGAGACCAAGTTGGTCACATTCAAATCCTTCCTACACCTCCTAATAACTCTCTTATCTCCACGACTAACCCTTCTCACGTCCCTTTATCACCTCGCCCCGCTAGTGCGAACGATTCGAGTACGCGGAATGTTATTCCTGGTCTCCTGAAACCACGCTCTAAACTACACGTAGGAGCTTTCAACGTCCGAACACTGTGCCAAATAGGACAACAGGCTTCCTTAGCTAAGACTTTAGAATCTCGCTCCATCGATGTGTGCTGCGTCTCCGAAACGCGCACACAGGATCCTAGTAGTGTCATTCATTTGACTGCACCATGTCTAAGTAACGAACCAACTCGATTTACGCTTCGTGTATCTGGAAGCCCTGATGCTGCTTCCCGTGGCCTCGCTGGCGTAGGTATAGCATTGAGTCCTAGGGCAGAACTAGCTCTCTTAGACTGGATCCCAGTAGACAGTCGTTTGTGTGCTGTCCGACTAAACGGAACAGTAAGGACTCGAAAAGATAGGGACACTCGTCGTTGCCTCTTCGTCGTCTCTGCCTACTCTCCCACTGACTGCAGCTCAGATGATGTAAAAGATGAGTTTTACAGAAAGCTTTCCGACCTTCTCCGAAAAGCTAGGCGTTCAGATGTAGTAATAGTGGCTGGTGACTTTAATGCTCAAGTAGGTAAACTAAGCGAAAAGGAAAGACACCTGGGTGGATCTTATGGTGTCGCGGCTCAAAGAACAGATAATGGCGACCGTCTGTTGCAGCTATGCTCAGATAACCGCCTGTTTCTTGCAAACACTAACTTTAAGCATAAGGAAAAACATCTTTTGACATGACGACCCCCGAATTCGTCCCAACGTTGGACCCGAATAGATCACATCGCTATCAGTCACCGGTGGAGGGGCTCGATAAAAGATTGTCGCTCATTCTGGAGCACATGTTTAGACTCAGATCATGCTCTGGTGCGTGCGCGTATTCGTCTACGTCTTACTGGACGTAGGAAAGATGGTGCAAGGAAACCCCTTAGGGTCCTACTTAATGATAGTCAAGCTAAGAGTATATTTCAGGAACAACTAGCAAAACAGTGAGACAGCCATGTAAGTGATGCCCACCCCGAGGCAGCGTGGAATGACATCCGAAAAGCTGTAGAAACAGCAGTGATGTCTGCAAATACGGTAAACCATAAGGTTAGGGAGAAACACTAGATCTCAGCAGCATCTACCGCACTGACAGATTTTCGAAAACTCATTCAATCTGGCTCTGAACATAACGGAGAGCGGAGTCAGCTTAAGCGTAAGCTGACTAGAAGCCTACGCAATGATCGTGAACAGTGGTGGGTAGCGAAAGCAAGAGAGATGGAAAAGGCAGCGGCAATAGGTAACGGCAGGCAACTGTTCAGACTTCTTAAGGAAACCGGTATTAGGAACCCAACTGTTAGCGAAACAATCTCGGAGAAAGATGGACATATTATTCATTCTCAATCCAGGAGATTGGATCGATGGGCAGAATACTTTAGGGATCAGTTCAACTGGCCTTCAGCCACACTTCGGTTTCCCACGATCTCCAGTCGACCTGAATGGCAAGTTGATGTAAGTCCTCCGACTCTTTACGAAGTTGAAAAAGCTATAGGAAATCTGAAGCGTGGGAGAGCAGCAGGCCCTGACAGGTTTACCCCTGAGATTTTTAAGGATGGCGGTCCAGTATTAGCAGCGAGATTGACTGAGGTCTTAGGTAGAATCTGGGAACTGGACGTAATCCCATCTGACTGGTCTCAATCACTGATTGTGCCAGTCTATAAGAAAGGACAAAAGTCCTCCTGTGACAATCACACAGGAATTAGTTTGACTAATATAGTGTCTAAAATTTTAGCTTCAATAATACTTCGACGTCTAACCAAAGCTCATGCAGAGCAGACTAGAGAAAACCAGGCTGGTTTTAGACCTGGACGTGGTTGTATTGATCAAATATTCACATTACGTCAGGTCATAGAACATAGACACACTTTCAGACGCCCCACAATGGTAGTATTTCTCGACCTTAAGGCGGCATTTGACTCTGTTGATCGTGAGGTTCTATGGCAGTGTTTGTCACTGAAGGGAGTACCAAAGAAGTACATTAATCTTATGAAGGCTCTCTACTCGAACACAACTGGTTGAGTGAGAGCTTATGGTGAACTGTCATCAGAATTGCTTACCTTAAGTGGCGCTCGTCAGGGCTGTCCACTCTCTCCATTCTTGTTTAACTTTGTCGTTGACGTCCTTTTAGAGATGACACTTTCCTCATCTAAATTTCCAGGAATTGAACTTCTACCGGGAGATCCACTTGTTGACTTAGAATATGCCGATGACATAGTTCTATTTGGTGAAGACGCTGACAGAATGCAGATTCTACTGACCACTCCAAGCAACATTGCAAGCATGTTCGGCATGCGATTTTCTCCCTCGAAATGCAAAATGTTGCTTCAGGATTGGGTTGCATCCACACCCGAACCAGTGATAGGAAGTGAAGTAGTTGAGCGTGTCGACCGCTTCACTTATCTCGGAAGTCTCATCAGCCCTTGTGGTTTGGTGTGTGACGAAATCTCAGCACGGATACAAAAGGCTCGACTAGCTTTGCCAACTTGCGTCATTTGTGGCGTAGTCGAGATATCCGTCTATCAAACAAAGGACGTGTTTACTGCGCAGCAGTTCGTTCCGTCCTACTTTATGGCAGTGAAACATGGCCGGTAAGAGTAGAGGATATTCGTAGGTTACTAGTATTTGACCATAGGTGTCTTCGAAACATCGCTCGTATATCCTAGGACCACCAAGTAAGCAACTCAGTTGTTATGAAACGGGTACTAGGTAAGGATGGCAAATCAATTGAGGAAGTAGTGAAACTTAATCAGTTGAGATGGCTGGGACATGTGTTGCGCATGCCCGACCACCGACTGCCCCGACGTGCTATGTTTTATGGTGTAGGAGTAGGTTGGAAGAAAGCTAGGGGCGGCCAGACCAAAACATGGCACAAATCCATGAAGTCACTGACAAGTGGACTGAGTCATGTTGGTAGGTGTAAACTACCTGGTTGGGGACCGCGAGACGATAACAACCGATGGTTAGAGACCTTGAATGACATGGCTCAAAATCGTTTGCAATGGCACAGGTTCATCCACTCTTTGTGTTCTCTCAAACTCTAATCTTCTGAATTCTTCATGTCCTTTATTTTCTTTCCCAATTTATTCCACTGGACTATACTCCTTTAATAACATCATCAAACCTTCATGTCCCCCATCTCTACTTATACATTCAGTACCTCTACCACTATGGGATTTGAATCGATAACTGAATCTCTGTGTTAATGTGGTATGGCAACTCGAACTGATGTACGTACGTACGAAGTTCCACGTTGTTACTGACTGACTGACAAGTGCATGTCATTTAGATATGGCAAATTTAGCGTTGATCGTTTTTAGGTCACGTTGCGCCTAAAAAATAAAATATACTATAGTTAGTCATTAACCTCAACCAATCCACGATACTGCGCGACCATTAACACCGTCGGATGCCAGCTCAGTGGTATAGCGGTTAGGCGTTTGTGAGAGGTCGAAGGTTTTGAATGAGTCCCGCATAAGGGATTGTGTATGCGCACAGCCGGGGAGTACCAAACTAACACGAAACGGCCACTTAGTGTTTCCAGTTTTTAAAAAGCGGTCTAACATTAACCATTTCGGGATCTCAAAAAAAACAACGATTTCCACCACCCTATACTAATAAAATACACTGAATTTGTATGGTACCTATCATATTCAAAAAACAGACACAAACCCTGTGTTTAGTTATCAAAACGTAAACCAGGAAGAAATTTTATGGTAGGAAAAGAAATTACAGTATAACAACTTTTAAAAGCTAACTTACACGACTCATGGGAGAACTAAATGGTCGTGACGATGACAATTTAGAAGTCGGGGCTGGATTTGTTTTAGACGATTCAGAAGAATAACGATGAGTATTCATTTCTAATCGACCAAACGAGTGCTCAGGATTAATAGCAATAGATATGCTTGGGGTTAAGGGGTATTGTGTGCCCTGACAAAATGGGATCCTAAGATTTTGTGTTGTTTTTATGGGGTCACTCATCTGTGATAGAAATGGTTGGATTGGTGTTTCTTGTGGATGGTTAAATGTTAACTGATCGTTTAGAATGGTGTAATTGGGTTTTGAAAGAACAGCAGTTGGTGTCAAATACTGGAAACTGCCAACCAATCCACCTCCGAGAACTGGTTGTACCGCTGTTGAATTTCCATCTTTAACATAAATCGCTGCTTTATCAGTAACTGAAATATTCTCGGGAAGAAAACCAGTTATCTGAGAATTGGGTACATAGGCAGGATATGGTACTGAATGTTCCCAATTTGCAATCATTTGAGTATTGACTGTTGATCCACTGGGGATTGAGGAATGGGACCAAAATGAATTATCAGTACTGTTTATAACAGGCTGTGGTCGGAAATCTCCATTGAATATCAATGTAGTTGGAGCGGAATCACTAGATGGCAAATTAACTGTACTAGATACAGCGACCTTTTGATTTGGTGAACATGAGAACACAGAATATATAGACTGAGTAGACTGAGGTATGCTTACGTGAAGTTGTGCATGACTCGGAGCAGTTGCAAACTGTTGTCTAATCGAACAAGATGAAGGCTGAGTTCGACTGGAATATGTAGAATGAGAAACGAACGGTAGATTGGGACCAGGAATGTTAAAATTACAATTTTCGCCAACTTTTTGGAGAAGTTCAGGATATCTGATGGGTTTTGTGTCATTTGACATATGCTTAGGTGATTTCCCAACATTCTTCAAAGGATATGGTGAGCTATGGGGTAAGTCAGATGAATGTGAAGTGAATAACTCTAGAGTTTGAACTGTAGGAAAGCATTTAGGAGCACCTGTATATTCTTGATAATCTGATGAATACTTATTTTTAACGAAAGAGACAGTCCGTAATTGCTGATTACAAATGTTATCAATTGGACAAACCTGATTATCAATTACAAAACTACTTTCATGTATACTTCTGCGAATTTGTACACTAGACAATGGAGTTAATGGAGAGTAAGAGTAAGGTATATGATTAGGTTTTATTGTTGGATGAGGTGCATGATGATCAGTAGGAGATTGATGGACAGATGGCCGTGTTATTGAAGGTATATCTGCCCCAACTAATCCCATTGGATAAGAAGTAATGTTAAGTGGGCCAAGATCATCAGGTACTGTATTAGAAGGCAGTGATTGAACATTATCTAAAGGAGTATTTGTTTTATAGCGTGCTTGGAAATTCCCATATTCTCTTGATTCAAGCGACGGCACAGTTTGTAAGTTTGTATCAGATGGCAATGAGATAATCGGTACTAAAGCGTTAGTACTGTTTAACGGATTGAAATCTGTTAATAAGATTTTCGAAAAAAAAACAACAGGAAGTACAGATTAAAACATTATTCTGAATACTAAAATCCATCTCTCTATTTAATTGAATCAATGAATATAATTCTACTTTCTTGTGAATGATGTCAGAGTTGTCTTTTTCATAACCCCATTAATCTAACTCAATTACGAGGTACAGGTTCTATGTACTCGACTTTAAGCAATACTTCATAACCTCACAACCTGGCAAATTACTTGTTACTTGAGATATAGCAAATGAGAACTTACTATTTATCGGGTACATTAATCATCGTTCATCTGAACACAACTTGTCTAAAATTCGATGAAGTGCACGTTCCAGCAAGATTTTTTGCTCAAGATAATTGGAATGAAGATAAGTAAAAGACTAACGAGGCGAATCATTTGATGAGATTTTTAGTTCCTTTCAAAAGTAGAAAAAAATACTTAACTATTGTTTCTAATTTTGGAAGACGAAAATACTCCTCACTAATGAAAAGATAAGAAGCTTTCACTAATAGGTAAATTAGTGTAGGGCAACATTCAGTACAAATATATTTCATTTTTATGAAAACATGATATTCAGTTGGATATGACATTATTGATAACTAACCCTTAAGTAACTCCTAGATTTTACTTCATAATTGCCTATGAGTACTGAGTGCTAGACGACATCTTTTAACTAACAAAAGCTAATAATTGCAGACTTACTGACCAGTATGTTAACATTTTCCCCTTATTTTCTCAGTTAACACTGCATCATTATTCTAGTACAAGCTCAGTTAGATAACATTCTATCCTATGCTTATTCCAGGTATGTTTGTAAACGATACCTATTCCGAATTTGACGTTAATCATACTGAAAATTTATCAGAATCGGTATAATATTAAGTCTAACAACAAATAAGTTATTTTGAACAAAACTATGTGACACTACTACGCAACTAATGATTCATAAAAATTATGCCATTGTGAAGTAATTCCTTTTTCAAAATGCTTACTTTTATATTAGTTGTGCCAAGGATAATATAAATGGGAAACTGCACTTTTTTTATTTCCTGACAATTATACTCTACCAAAAGCTCTTGATTCCAATGGGTTTTGATTCATTATAAACAAATTTTAGAAGTAAAAATACTGCTTGGAGATGTTTTTAAAGCGAATAGTAGACTGTCATATGAAATATACAACTAATAAATAAAAGCTCTCTTAACCATTTTTATCTATTTTTTCATCAATTCACTGTACTCTATTCATCGTAAATAACCTCCTTACCCTTAACATTTCCTATTAAAAAACTAGGCTTATTAAACTATAAATTTTAGTATTATGGAATCAAACACTAAAGTGGATTTATAGAGAAGGATAAACGTGTTTCCATTTCATAGTAAACTAAAGTAACCAGTGACTTAATATGTACAGCAAACTTGTGTGACATGTTTATCACTTTACTAATTCATATATTTCGCGCAACGCTTTAGACATTATATCAATCTGTTATACTGGTCTGATCCTCATTTATTACTAAGCCGTTTTTTATACTTGAATGATGTGTTGAGCTAGTTTCCAAATATACCCTTGACTTCCAGCTTACAGGTGAATTTTAGGTCTTCAAGAACATTCGGGAGCAAAAAAACCTGTTTGACTTAACAGTCAAGCTACTTTTAATAGCAAACTGAAAAATAAAAATAAGACTGTTTCAATGAACGGGCTGTTACAGAGAGTAAAAAGATAACTATCTAAATTAGAGGTTTATTTTTCATCCTTGGATTTAGTGCTATATAATGCACCTGAAAATATAGTTGTTATGAAATCAAATAAAGTAAACAACCAACAGGAATGATATTCTACAACTTAAAATTCTTTGTAGTAGCTCAAAAGATCGAGGGACTGGAAATTCCATGAAAGGATCCATATGGGGGAGTGAGGAATAGGTGATAAAAAAGTTTATAGTAGGTGTTGCTTGAGACGAGAACGGATATGTTATTTTTGTATCAACAGAACTTAAGTTACCATGAAGTACCTCGAAGTAATAGACAGATTTATCAACATGAAACCATGAAGAAAAATGTAAAGGTTTAGATTACTTTGCTTCATACGAGTACAGAAAAAGATTACTCCAGGAAGGCAAAATCCGACTCACACGTCCTCGTCGTGCCTCCTGGATAATGTGGCTATTCCCATTAACTAACGTGAGCGGTAACCCGGGTGGAAGAGATCGGGCTAATCACCCACTCGTCCTATACCCACAATCTGATTTCGAAAACTACAAAGAAACATTGCACAATTATTAATGGTTCACAAAACGACAAAAAATATTCACAAAAACTAAAACTTGGTTTATGGAATGTCCGGGGTTGCTCTCAAGAGAGTAAACTCCAACTGATTGCAGAACAAGTCATCGAACGTAAGTACCACATAGCAGTGATTACTGAAACAAGGATGGTCTCCAAAACCATCAAATTAGACAAAAATACAACCTTCCTAAACTCTAATCCTAACATAAACGACTACCGGAACACCGGTGTCGGCTTCATCATTAATAACCAATCAATGGTTAATGCCACCAACTTTAAGGAGATAGATGGTAGAATAGCTACCATTAAAATACATAGCAAAATCACTAACCAAACTATCAACCTTATCGGTTGTTATGCCCCAACTGAGCCTTCTACTGAGGATATCAGTAAAGACACCTTCTACCTTAATCTGAATAACACAATTAAGAAACTTAAACTAAATAAATTTCCCATAATCTTATTAGGTGACTTCAACTGCAGGCTAGGCCAGGACCTTCACACTTACTACCCCAGTATCGTAGGGAAAGCTATTAAGCTTGAACCAGAGACATCAACAAATGGCATGAGACTAATAAACTTATGCGAAACATCATGTCTGCGAGTAATGAACACATTCATTACTAAACCCACTCATAGGACCTCCACCTGAGTACACCCCAAAACCCAAACGGAACATATGATAGACCTAATATTAATAGAAAATAACTCTAAACTAACGGTCTGTGACATTCACAATAGCCGATCTATGGAAGCTAACTCCGATCACTACATGGTCACAGCCATACTTAAACTAAAATACTTAAATAATAAACAGACCCCAAAAAATAAAGAGACCAAAACGTAGACAACGTAAGGCGATACACGCCTTGACGTCGGACTATCCGAACATACTAGACAACCTACTTCAAAATGAATATAATCTAAATCAGATAGAAAAAACTATCATACAAGCAGCTAATAAAGCTGCAATCCCACAGAAGTCGGCCACTAAAAGATGGCAACACACCATAAGTGACCTCTTAAAAATGAAATAAAACATAGAAAACAAATAAGACTAGCCTGGCTAAATAACCCTACAACCTTCAATAAAAACCTCTACACTCAAGCCAGTAAGATAGTAAATAAAAAGATTAAATTAGCAAAAGACCAATATATCAAAAATAGAATAGATGAGATGAACTCTCTCTTCAAGAAACATGACTTACACTTAGCATATAAAATGCTGGATGATATATTGGCTACAATTCGAAACCAATCTTATAGAGCCAAAAGAACAAATCAAGTAAAAGATAGTGATCTTCAATATCACTATCAGAACCTATTTAGTGCTAAATCAAAACTAAATACTACCTATCTACCGATTGGGGGTACCCAAGATACTGAACTAACTCTAGATGAAATAAAACAAGGTCTAAAAAGCATGAAAAACCAAACTACTCCCGGTAATAACGGCATCACCACTGAAATGATTAAGCATGGGAGTAGTAAACTGACTAACATGTTATTAAATATAATGAATAAAATATGGAGAAATTCGTGCACTATGCCCGACCACTGGCTAGATGCAGATGTTATAAGAATATACAAAAATAAAGGATCAAGATCTGACCCTAATAACTATAGGAGTATATTCTTACTGGACACAATAGGTAATCTATTTGCAGGCATAGTATGCAATAGACTCGTACGGCAACTACACATGCAATAACGACTCTAAGGCACGTAATCCAAACTGCCTTAGACACGAACCATACAATTGTTTTAACTTTCGTAGATTTAACTAAGGCATTCGACTCCATACCTAAACAATTAATACTAAACACTCTAAATAAACTGTGTCCGTCCTACAACATAAATGCCTGCATAACTAAACTATTAGATAAGCCTAAAGGCTACCTAAAAAACACTCAATGGAACTTTACAATGCATAGGGGGGTCAGGCAGGGTAGTAAAGAAGGTTCGGCCATCTTCAACTTGGTCCTTCAAAATATATTAGAACGTACTATAGATAAAACCATTAAAGGGATTACACTAAAGGATCAGCATAATAGGACTTGGACAGTCAAACACTTAGAATATGCTGATGACCTGTGCCTTATCACAAATACCACGGAAGAGGCTACTAAAGCCTTAAACCACTTACAAAACTATTTAACTAATATTGATATGGAGATATCAATCTCCAAAACCAAAGTCATGATTATAAATAAAAAAGACAACCTAACAGCTGTCAGGATAGGCAACAAGGAGATAGAGGAAGTAGAAACCTTCCACTATCTTGGCTCCACTATAAATAACAAAGGAACCCCTGACAGCGCCATAACCCATAACATAGAAAAGGCAAAATCTGCAATGATCAAAATTAAACCAATACTTAGTACTAAAATCAAACTGGTGGATTCTTCAATAATCCTCATTCTCACATATGGACTAGAATCCATAGTACTAAGGAAACAAGACTGGACACGGCTAGAAACAGTGTTGAACACAATACGACGAATCATCTTAGGCATAAATGATAAAAAACAACTTACGATAGAACAACTTAAACAAAAAATAAACTTACCCAACATAGCCAATAAAATAATGCAAAATAGACTAAACTTATGGTACACCGCTCATAAAAGACCAAATAACCTAATGGTGAGGTCTTTAAATAGCGGATTCGATAATCCATCCAAAAATAGGAAAACACATACAAA